TATATACCCTTCTTGTAGCTTTGTAGTTTGTTCTATTTAGCACTTCATCATAGAGCAAAAAAAAGCAAAATAATAATAAAAAAACCCGTTTCACTTTGTGTATATCCCATGATGTCCCAAATATATTTAAATTTACAACTGATGCCTGCTGAATAGAGTTTATAGAATGCTACATTACACATTGAATGCAGTTCGTAAAAAGATTGATTTTGACAAATTGCATACAGAAACTAAGAAACTAGCAATCATGCTCTGATAATGGAATGAATCAGTCATACAGATGATAGTGAAACATTTAATAGAACTTGCTTTAGAAACATACTATTAAATATATGACAGTTATAGAGGGAAACCAAAACAAAACACAAAGAGACCAACACACACAGAGAGTCCATTTAATACCAACTTAGATTCTGTACAAGATTTTTCTGGATGAAGATTTTATTTTTCCTGTGGGTTAAGGATTGGCCTACTAACCAAAAGTTGGTGTTCAAACCCACCTGTTACTCCAGAGGAGAAATTTGAGACTGCCTGTTCTCATAAAGATTTACAGCTTTGGAAACTCTATATAGTCAAAATTTACCTGATGGCAAAGGGTTACTTTTGGGGGTGGGGTGGGGGTGAGGGGTGACATATTATATAAAATTTCACTTTAAAATGGCTATTGTATTTACTCTAGAAATAAGAAACGATCTTGTTGATTTCAAGGTATAAGGCATTTATATTACAGCACCATAATTTAACACTCAGACTTCTTTGCCTGGTTTTTCTCTTTTTCTTTTATACAGAAGCATCTTATCTACTAAATAAAAGTTTACACACACACACACACACACACACACACACACACGGCAGATTTCATGGGTTTTGTTGTGGTGACTTTTCTATTGTTCCTTCCCTCTTATTTATATAAAAAGCAATGCTTTCTTTTCAATCAATCATTTAGTTAATACAGCATAATATGGCTTTGAAAAAGAAAATGGAATTTAGACTCACAGATTTTGGTGCAAAATTCACCAGTTCTTTGACTCTGAGATCTGATTTTCATTATTCGGTACCATAACATGAGGATGATAAAATCTATTTAATCATAGTATCAGGACATTTCATTGGGTTTTGTAAAGAGCTAGGCATATCCTAAGCATTACAGAGCTGCAGGTTCCTTTCAATTTCCTTTCAGAGTATGTGTATTGACAACATATCTTCAATATTTCAAAGGAATGACATTGGAATTAGATTTATCCAGCTGGTATTTGTGATTTTATTGGTGCTAAAAGTCAGTAAACTAAATAACCACAATTTCTGGCCCTTCATAATGGCAATTTACATCAAATCTAATGCAGTTACCCACAACATATGCTAATGTTTAGTGTGTTTTTAAACACAAAAAGCAAATGGCCCTGTTCCAGTTCAAAGTTTCCACATTTTCTTCTGACTAGAATAAAGGTTTGTTTCCTGACTGATTCTTCTTGTCTTCAGTCTTCAGGTGAGGAGCATGAAGATCAAGGGCCAGAGAGAAGACTAAATTCAATTATGTATCATCAAATACAACACTGAATGCCAAACAAAACGCACTTATTTTGCCTTCTCATTTCCTGAAAGAAAAAAATAAGATAGACTTCTATAGCATATGGGGGAGGGGAGAAGCAACACAAAACCACGTCTTTTCTTAGTGATGAGTGAAAGGGAAAGGTGGTAGGTATGCTGTAAGGATAGTGGGGATGGTAGGGATGGTAACACAATACATTAGGATTCCATTTTAATTCTAGTTCCCGTAAAAAACACTTTCCCCAAATCAGGGGTTTGGTTTTATGTATAATAACAATGACTACATCACTTTTTGTTTATGGATATTTTTTATTGAGGTTTCATCTCATGGTTTTACATGTGATTGTACAGAGCATTTAAGGAGGGAGGATGAAAATGTTGTACAAGGGGAAAATTCAATAGATTGAAGTCTGATAGGTGTATATGATAAGAATAAGGTAATGTGTAAATATATGAATGCTAACAGCCTGCAGTATGTATATTCTTGTTCCAAAATAGAACTTCTATTATCAATGGGAAATCGTTATATTTGTTAGTAATTTTAGAAATGAAGAATCATGCTTTTAGATTTTTGAGAGAAATCCTCAATTCAATTTCTTGGCAAGTGGGAAAACCATATGGAATCTCTCCCCTGCCCCTCACCCAAATTATCCTTCTACTTTTCATGCATTCACAGAAGCCAAATGATAGAAAAGTCAGCTGACTTTCCAAGTCTTGACTGGACAGTGGACAAGCAAAGAAAAGTGCTAGAACACAGGAGAAAAAAGAGGGGCTTGGTTGTAAATGAAGACAATCTGATTGTCCACAGCGGTTTCAAGATATATCGCCTTTAATTACTTAGGGTGTTAAAGAAACTTTTATACTGAGATGAGGAATGAAAATCACCTTTCAAGGTTTTTTCCCCCTCTTTATCTTTCTTGACTCATAATGTCATTCAAAATATAAGCTACTAAAATGATTTGAAATTCAAAGAATTAAACATTTTCTGGAGAACTAAGACGTGATTAACCTAAGAGAGCGCTGTGTTTTACTAACGATCCTGAGTTCCCCTTCAGAAACCTCTACTGACTTTGATAATGCTTATACTATGCATTCCTTCCTTCAAGGATCTTTGGAGGTCAATCAAGATATTTCACGTTGGGGTCAGGTTCAATTTGCCAGTTGCACCTTCCAGAAAATGAGAGGATGAGTGCACTTCAAGGAGCCACTTTAGGCCTTTCCAACGTATTGTAAAATCCTACAGTCCGGCTAGTCCAGATTCTTCTGTCTTGAGATAAGCTTAATTTTTTTAGAAACTAACTTTCTCTGATTTTTGGACTAACTATAAATATTGAATTCACGTCTCCCTTAGACCACAGAGTGGGATATTTCTCATTTTAAAATTAGCCAATGAAAAGAATATATTTATCCTGAGAAGTCTGCTTTGCTTTCCACATTTATCACTCACTCTTTTAGCACTATAAAATAAAAGCAACATTGTGTGCTTTTAGAAGCTTTTGCATTATAGGGTACTTTGAGAATATACCCCATGTACAACTTCTGCAGCATTTTATGAATTGTGTGCAATAGCTGAAGAGAGAGGGGTCTTGGAATAACTGTTTCAGCAATGTATTTGTTCAATCTTAATGTGATGGCCATATATATATAGTGAGTATCCTATAATATGACTATTGCTTGGTTATTAATTATTTTCACAATGTACATAATTCCAATATAATATTAATTTAATGTTTATTTAGAAAGACTTATAATAAAGCGCTAAAAGTTACAAAGACACTAGTTGCATTAACGTGTTGGTGTACAATAGAGTAAACATATATGACCAGAGTGAAGGTGAATTGAGGCAAACATATTTATAAAGAAGCACTGATAAAATATTGATGTTTCCTTGAGATCAGTAGTAGCTAGAGAAGGATGTTGTAAAAAGTATTAACCTGTGGAATCAGCAGAAAGTAATGGAAATACCAATTTTAGATTTCAACAAATCAGTATCATTTGGTATAGTATTTAAGATTGTTATGATTTTAAATAATTTCTTTTCATGGAAAAAATTTCACTGCATATCCAATTTTAAGTCTACCATCTCACCATAAATTTGGAAGTTGTTTCTGTTCTTCTGTTCATAGTGAAGTTGAAAAATTTGTGGATCCCAATAGTCTTTTACCGTTGATTAGTCTTCCTTGATTTCTTCACATAAATCAAAGTTCTTTTCATATACCTTCTTAAGAAATTCTGAGTTTGCATTTAACCTTGAAACACTCTAATACGACATGAATTAACAAATGAGAACATGTTTTGATGTACTCTTAACAGAAAGAACCACTAAAATATAGTTGAAATAAAGATGTCTAGTACCCTAAAATGCTAGATATTAAAGAAGAGCTTACTTTTATGAAAAAAAGTAACAATAATTCTATTTAAAGTTAGAATATGCAAAACCATAACTACCTATTCTAATGGAAAAGATAAAGGCCAAGTTCGCAGTAACTGTAAACAAGCAATTTTTTTCCTGAAAACTGTGAAGGGAATCGAGTATGTACATATTCATGTATGTGCGGATGAAAGTTAAAGATTGATTTATTTCTTAAAGCAAAGATGAAACAATCAGGATTAATTAGTAAACAGAAATGGGTCTTCCTAAGGCTTTCACAGGTCAGAAGAACCTACCAACATTTTTCACCTTATAGGCTGCAAATAAAAATGTGGATGATACACCAATACGCTTCAGATGGTTTAAGGAAAGAATTTCTGGCTAAATAGTTAAATTTACAGTTGGGATCCATTCAATCTATGTTATGAGCTCAAAGAAGCTTCTCATGTAGAATTAATTTGCAGAAAAATGCTTCTATAAGTCATTTTGCAGTGTTGTTGCTTAACTTTTGCACATCCTTGTTCCCAACTTATTGATGTGCAGATATCAAATGAAGATTTATTTGAAGTTTTACTTAAGACTGAACTGTAATAATTGATGTGGTGAATTATGATGATTACTTCCTAAGAAAAAAGGAATGAAACTGTACTGTGGAGCCCTGGAGTGGCATAATAAGTTAAGCATTTGACTTCTAACCCCAAGGTTACCAGTTGGAAGCCACCAGCTGCTCTGTAAGAGAAAGATGAGGCTTTCTGCTCCCACGGAGACTGACAGCCTTGGAAACGCACAGGGGCAGGTTCATTCTTCCGTATAGGACTGTTATGAGTCAGAGAAGACTGGATGGCAGTGAATATTTTGGGGTATTTTTTGCTTTTTGGCAGCCCTGGGCTCAACTTATAACAATTTTCGAAAGATGGCCTAGGCCTGAGCAGTGTTTTGTTATTCATATGGTCATTATGAGTCAGAAACAACTCCGTGTTACCCAAGACCTAGAACACAACACCCTCAGTGTCTGCTGTATTGTGAACTTCAGACACATTGATATAGTGTATCACATATTTTTGTTAACGAGGAAACAATATTCATGCTAATATTTTCAGATTTATTCTTAACCAAAGAGATAATGCTTTTTCTTCTCACTCTCACCCGAAATATGAATTTATAACCATTGCAGTTCCATAGTGTTTTTCAAAATTATTCCAAGAAGCAACACTTTAGTGTAGCACTGATGGACCAATTCTGAAAACTAATTATTACTTCCATAGCAAGTAATAACTATTTATTAGTTTGGAATTTACAGGCAATCCAGAAATTCTCTTTCCCCCTCAAATTTGGTTCCTGTAATATTTTGTAAAATTCATCTTAGATTTTTAATGTCATTCTCTAAGTAAGCAAATCAGTTGGTAGATTTGAACATACTTGGACAAAAAGCTGAAGATTGCCGCCTACAATTAAATTTATGAAAGTTTTACTAATTCCTAATATGCTTTTCTTCATTATCATGAAGTTTTGTTACACCAATTAAGCTTATACTAAATTAAAAAGGAACAAAAACTAGATCTGAAATATCATTTTATCAATCTTCAATATAGTTAAATTAATAGGAATTTCAAACGTATAAATAACTTCATTTTAATTGATTTAGAGTCATTGTGAACTTTCTCCAGGAACTTACACATTTCTGAAATGCCTTTATCTATAAGTACATTTTTGTTTTTACATCACATTTATTGTTTTATACTGGTCCTTTATTGTTGTTATTTTACAATAGGAATTTATGATTTAACACCAGTAATTTTAATGGCAGCAGAATGAAAAACAGAAGGATATTCATGAACTTAATTTAGACTGTCAGCCTATTTCTCTTTCACAAAAATTAGATTTCTCCACATTATCAATTAGAAATATAGGTTTGGAAATAGCTATCAGTTTGTGACTAAACTAAACTTGAAGTCCATTGACTAGTTTCCTGGAAAAATAACATATGATTAGATTTCAAAGGGAAAAAATCAAGAAGTATAAAATGTCATATTATTTGCCAAGAATTGAAAGTCTGTTTATCATTGTCATAATGTCCACTTCTAGCTGGCCAGATAATGTGCTGTGCATGATCTCTTGGAGGGGAATTGACTTCTCAGTGGAAAGTCAGATAAACATATCCCAAAATGCAAATAAGTAGGTCATGTGTGCCACAGGGAATTTTAAAGAGTCAACCAAAAAGGTGGTTTTAAAAAATGAATTTATATGTGAGTGGTGTTTATTTTTTAGGAAAATTACACTCATTTATCAATAGTTCTACATGAAAATCTACTTGGGGCGGGGGGTTGGGGAGAAATAACGTTTAAAAGTTAAACCGTTGGTGGCGTAAATAGGAAAAAATGAACACATATTAGAAATACAGAAATTTCTATTGAAGTGAATGAATAATTCACTCTTTATCATTTTGATTTCCATTATAATCACCTAGATTGTGTGTGTTGAGATAAGGATGTCTTCTTGTGCAAAGTTTTTGGGATCTTTAGTCTCCTGCAAGCACAGCAATTGTGAAATATGAGAGTAAAACAGCTTGCCCTTTTTTCTTGACATCAGAGCTTGGTAGTAACTGAAAGTATTGGATGGTCTTCTGCACCAGTTTGTGTAATTGTAGAAAGTTCAAGTGATCTTCTTTCAACTTGGTCCGTGTAGGGCTGGGGAGACTAACTACTTCATATTTCCATATAATGTAATGCAAAAAATAACAAGGAGGGAGGTAGCAATATCAAAAAATCAGACTCGGCAGGATCAGCTAGCTGAATTGAGGTAGTTTCCCTATTGTTCTGTGAAATTAATTTACCAAAGGAGTGGAATTCATAGAGATTATTGTTTGGTTTTATTGGCAAAACATAGTGTTTATCATCCAAAGACCACGTTTATGTTTCTGCATCATCTTCAATATTCTAAAAAGGATCCTTTCATTACCAAATGTTTTCCACGTATCTGAAGGGCTACACATCTCTCAGGTGCTAATGTTGCCAGAGTGTGGTTTGATAAAACCTCATTACTGTTAAAGTTTGTGGTTATCCATCAATTTAAAGAAAATCCAAAAATTATAAAAGAAAATACTTGTGGAAAGAGAAGTAAAAAGAATTCTACACACACAAAATTGGAGGTGAAATTAAATTTCTGTGCAACACAGCTTATGTGTGTGTGTGTGTCCATTGTATGTCCTGTATCTTTAAGTTCTTTATCGATTACTGGTTATTTCCCTAAAGGACTCCTCTTCTTGATTGAAAAATATTTCAGCTGTAGATGGCGGGTGGCTGACTTTGAGGACAGAAAGAATGAGAACGCCAAGATTTCACATTCCAAGAGCGAAGTTATAATGTGGCAACCCCGTCCTGGCTTTGCCCTGGCAGGGCTCCGCATTCCCAGCTAAAGTTCTGCAGACTGCAGAACCTAACTTTTTCTTTGGAAGAATTTGATTTTAGTTGTTGTGTTGTTGCAATTTCTATCATAGCTAAAACAAGAAAACATTTCCACAAAAAGGTCTTGTGATAGCTTGATAAAATATTATTCTCTCTGCTACAATTTTTTGCAGCTTTTAGTTTATTTAGTGAATTTAAATTTCCAATATCAAAATGGTCCTTCAGAAAAGGGAAATAATATGACTTCCACCCCAACAATTCTGTACTTAAATCTTTGATTCATGGTGGCTTTTATAAGCATATTGTGACTGAGGCTATTTTATATAATATGTACATAATAACCTATATATTTCCCTGCTCAAAAATAAGTTATGCATCTTATTTCAGCCTACACAAGCATCCCCCCTACCCCCATATTTCTGGTTCACATTGTCTGCAAAACCTGTATCATTTTGTGCTTAGGTAATTCATCTAGGGGGAATAATATTTTGTGTGTGGCTCATTTGAGCCATAGAGGATAAACAAACTTTATATATTGAAAACAGAAGGAAAGAAAAGTGAGAAAAATGAAAAAAAAAACCAATTGATCATATAGCACATACATCCATACAGTATCTTCTAAATCTCAATCAGTTGTTTATTGGTCGGCAAACAAGTTTCACTTTTACAACAAATATTAGTAATGAGGTCATCCAACTTTGAGACCATACAAAATGGATCATAAATTTAAAAAAAAATTATATGTGCTCCTAATTTATCTCTTGTATGCCTACATTACTTAAAATCCTGTCAAATAAATAAATTTTCCTGTTAATAAACAGAAGGACTTCTTTAATCATTTCAAAATAATTGGATCTTTCAATTATTTCTATGGGGTAAATAATTTCCTTTAAAAATTGATAGTGCAGATGCCCATTTGGGATTCCAACTGAGCATTCAGCACTTTAATGCCTATGAGATATCTATTTTTTTTCCACATGCAGAAGCCCCACTAGTTCTATAGACACCTCTTGACTTCTAGAGTCATAGCTACTGTCTTGGTGATGAATTGCTTGCCAAATATGCTTTGCATTACAACAGATGTGCACAGTAATAATAAAAGTTCATCCTGCTCTAATTTGCAAAAATGCTGTTGGAAATATTCTGACTGAATATCGATATATAGTAAGGGAAGGAAGTCTAATTTTATTTATTTTATTTTTTTGTAAAAAATAATTTGTTTGCATTACTAGAAAATGATTCTTATAAAGTGATAGTTTTATTTTATTTATTTATTTTTTGCCAGATGAAGTTTTAAAGAAAAAAAAAAGAAGTGAAAATAAAAGGAGAAAATGAAAAGAAAGAAGAAAGGAAGGAAACTGCTCTCTTACTGGTAGTCAAACTTGCAAGACCAGCACAAAAGAAAAAAAAAACTCTTTTTTTTCCACTACATTAACAGGACTCAAATTCTGGAGGAACAGAAAGCAGACTATATGTGCAATGCTAGTATCTGTACATTACATAGAAATTGTTCAATTTTTCTGCCATTAGTTTTATCATCAGTTAATACAGCAAATCATAAAATATGCATTGAGCATATAATTCTAGAATTCCCCTCCATTTATTAATTTTGTTGTTTTGTTTCCACAGCTATGTCTCCTGTGGTGAATTCAGGTTGTGACCAAAAACCCCTATGTAATACAGTTTTTGCTTTGCTTTTATGTTTGTTTGTACAGCACTCCAATCTAGATGCAGCACTGTTACTAATTTCAAACAACTGTTCTGGCCTTTTTAAAATTAGGTCCTTGTAATTATAGTAACATTGCATCAGAGATGTTAAAACAAACAACATAATTCAACAAGGCCACAATGAGCGCCTTTTTCGTCAAATCTCGTTCATTAACATAATGAAGTCTCATCGGAGGGGGAAGAACAGGAAAAGAGAGGGCACAGGAGAATTTCAGCAGTTAGCCTTCTCCCCTGGGTTGGCCTAAAAATCCCAGTTTAAAAACAAAAACAAAAACAAAAAAGTGAAAGTCTGAGTTTGCGTTTTTCTCTCAAGAACAGCATCGAGATTTAGGAGTATACACATTATTACCACTGCTTGTATCAACTCAGAACAGTCAACCCGGTGTTCGCGGTCTGGCAGGTATCGCATTTCCGCGTCCTCTTCTATAGACTAGTGACCAGGTGAGCTGGTCCTTTCGAGCATCCCTCTGGGGGGGTCCCCTCTTTGTTCGGAGGAACTATAAAGCCATCACTGCTGCCTCGCCCTAGCTGGTAGTAGGTGTGCAGCTGATGGACGTGGTTTCTGGAGCCTAGATTTGGCATGCTTTTGTAGTACACATCTTCGGCATCTGCACTTTTGGCCGGTGGGGGGTCGGTCTGGGTGCTGGTGGTAACACTCTCCGCGGCGGCGGCGGCGGCGGCGGCGGCCACCCCAGCCAGGGCCGGCATGCTGGTGTAGAGCGAGTCCCGGTGGGGCGACTGCAGGTCTTCCGTGTGCTCGTTGGTTAGCAAAGGGAAAAAGCTCTCGCTGTGGTCTTGGGGGATCCGCCTCCTGGTGTAATGGTGGGGATGGTGGTTCTCTGTCGAGTAAACTCTCGGCGGCAGCAAAGGCGCGTCGGATTCCTCGTGAATGAGTTCCAGGCCCAAACTCTCCTCGTGGTTGAAGGAGGTGGCGTCGTCCAGGACGATGGCGTCCTCCTCGCTCGCGCTGCCCAGGTTATTCACCAGCTTGTTCATCAGATTCCGGTTCTGGTCGCTGGCGCGCTCGTGGTTGTTCAGGTAAGACGGGATATAATTGGAAGTGAGTTCCTTGAGAATTTTTTTTTCTAGGGCGGTCTCGTTATGGTTATAGCCACGGTCTATGATTTGCACACAGTTGCTCAGGTATTCGCCGCTGGCAATGCTGTAGCTATTGCCATGGTTACCATTCAGTGGTAGAGTATCCATGACACTTGTATCCCTGGCATTGTTCAGAAGCCCCTCTGAAAAAGATTACAAAACACTATGACATTGCTATCCAATAGGCCACAGAACACACACATACAAACACAAGCAAAAACATTCATCACCTATGAAATATGTATAAATTGGTAGCATTTGTACTTCAGTTTCAAAAGTTTGAAAAGAAAAAATACTGAATATATATTTTTGGACAACTGATAGAAATCTTCTAAATAGAAAAGAAGCATTTAAAGCGATTCCTTAAAGTAAAATAAATAAAAATAACGTATGAATTATAAGTAGGCAATTACATCCATAAACACTACCTAATATTATCTGAAGCATTTTGATTATTACTTAGAAAAGTAATGCAACATTTTGGTGTAGTCCTTCAGAGCTTTCAATTTATACATCAATGTCAATTAAATAATTTGTTACCTTTAATTTTATATGCTGTCTTAATATTGAGAGAATTTTAGGAGAAATATAATTCACTGTAGCACTTTGAATATATTGGTCAAAAGTAATCAAGAAATTATTAGTAATTTGATAATAAAAATCTTTTTCAAATTGTTCCTTATTTGTAAGATTTTGCCAGACACATAACCACGAAAGGATTATGTTAAAATCATCAGTACGATGTAGTCATAAAATTATACTTAGTCAACTTATGAAACATCCAAAATTACTTACACAAAGGACTTTGAAGTCAGAAATAATGGAGTTTAACTTTTCTTCTGCTGTAGGGACTTTAGTTATTCTTAGCTATTAATCTATTAATCATTGTTTAGGATCATTAGGTAAAATTACAAAAGTCTGTATAAGACACAGGGATCTAAGTCTGGACAGCATAGTGTCAATATTAAAGGTATCACGCATAATGAGTGATGACTTGTGTGCATACTAAACATCAGGTTTAAGAAGAAGGTAAAAAATTTAGTGTGGGAAGAAATAGCTGAAGTCAAATAAATTTGATCACATGCTTCTTCAAGGCTTTTGCTTTTCCTAGAATGAACAGAACCAATAATATATAACAGTTCCATAAGTTATTTCAGATGTAATCACAAAAGAAAAAGAAACACAAACGTTTGACCAATACCAGTGAATAAGAAAAGGTATTTTTCTTTGCAAAAAAAATAATTCTAAGGATTGTAATGAAACTTCTCAATAGACGGTTAATTTGTGAAAATATATCCCTCAATCTATATCTGTGATGTAGTTGTGTTTAACAAAAAGAAATAGTTTGTTGCTGTTTTAAATAAAGTGGCCTGAATGTGCCAGTGTTTTATGGACTTCAGATGCATTTCGATACATTGAAGTTAATCAGTTTGCAAAATCAACAATGCATTTAGAACGCATTACAGAGCAGTCATCACAGACATAGGATGAAGCCATTTATTTTCATGTTATAAGATACCTTTTAGACAAATCCACAATGTTAAGAAAAAAATCAAAGTAAATGTTATTTTTAAGGGCCATATGTGATGGGTGATTGGTGCTGCAGAGGCTGCTATGGTATGCTTGATGGTTACGGTGGGGTGACGGACGCATTGAAACATGTACTGATTACTTCTGTTGTCAATGCAGTAAGTACAGGTTGAAAATTGCCATCGTACAAAATACAAATATGTTGCATGTGACACATTTTTATGATGGAATGTAGTATAGAAACAAAAGTGTATGAATACTTAGCAAAAAATAAATGCTGAATTTAAAAACAATTTAACTCACACAAACAATTACATGAGACTTAACGATCATATGGCAATAAAAGAATCAGACAACATAAGCGTCTAATCTCTATTAACATATATTTATATCAGTTGATTCATAAGTTCTTTCGTTTTAAAATTGTGAGATGAACTGTTTTTAATAACTACATCATCTATATGTGATGCAATAAAAGTGAACTAAAAAAAATTACATTTGATATGCAATGTTTAGCTTTACTCCCATACTTGTCTCTCTGTAGGGCTCTAAACGACAGCATGAAGGAAAGGAAAGAAAAAACAACAAGTAAGCTTACAGCGACAGTCGAGGAAACATGAGTAAAAAGCAAATTGATGATATGCAGAAAAAAGAGTCAAAGGAAATAATTTCCACTGCCCCAAAATTCATGAGTCTGTGTTACATGGATTATTATAAGTAAGAAATCCTGTAATGTTAGTAAGAAAATAAGAGCGTCCCCCTTTAACACATGCTAATAAAGAGAACCTTTCATAAGCATTTCCACAATATGAAACTTAAATACATATAACCATTTATGTGAACATTAGGATTATCACACAAACCAAAGAGAGCACAAATTTGAGGACAACCCATGATTATTTCCACAACTACATTTCAATGTTATGTTTACATGTATGTGCTAGCACATACTTCTAAAATAAATTTGAAATTTATCAGTATAATTTAAATATAATATTTAGTTTATGCATTGAGATACGTCACAAATTAGTAGTTCTCATGGTTTTGCTTTCTCTTTTATGTAATCTATTTCCCTGTACAAAATTTATTTTTACCCCCACTGGACCTGTAAAAATGCGCTTTGTGTTTGGTAACTAACACTCATTAATATTATCATCTCTGCTCCTCATATTTAAAATTTGTCTAAATATGGAGAAAAATCTAAACTAAATTGGATTATTATCATTATGAATCAAGAAAGTGTGAGGGGAAGAAAGTATCACTGTCAGTATCTTATCTTCTTCTGGGTTGTTGCAAAGTCTACGCAATCGGACTGGGGCTTCAGTCCGCTTGAACTGGCTCAATAATAACAAATAAAGTGAAGCAGGCCCAGGTCTGAATTTTTAAATTTGGGGTATTTCAGAATGACGCCTGGAATGGAGAAAAAATGTTGGTAGACCCATAAGCTTGATGCATGAGGTTCAGATTGGATTCTTGGCAGGGCACACAATCAAAGTGATGCACATACTCTGAGGGGCACAAACCGCAGTCATGTTGGAGGGTTGTTGTATCCAACTCTGCTCAAAACCTAATGAACAGGAGATTAATTGCTGTGCCATATGAATATTTCACTTCTTTTTTACGAGGGAGATACACTTTTTAGCTGGGCTTTCATCATAATTTTCCCCATATTGATTACAGTTCTGGTTTCCTCCAATTTTAAACATTTCAGTCTCCTCTGGTGCTGCTTCCACGTCCATGGCTGAACCAGAACAAACACATTTCAAAGCCCAAATAAAACACTTTGAGAGTTGATACTTTTAAAATAATCCCAGTATTTTTTTTAAAGAAAATTCATATTTCCTTATATGTCAGTTCAAAAAATAACTGTTCTTGCTGATTTCATTTACAGAAAGGGTAAAATATCCAAAAAATTTAAAACAAAAACACTAAGTTCCTTAGGCCAGATGACTTTATGAATTCCAACATGTTAGTGTTTTAATCTCAACTTTAAAATGACAAATTTTGTATTTTTAATTTTATTTGGTTCTTAGTGAGAAAACCAACACATTTCAAAATGCAAAGTTTGAAAATTCTTTAGGATAAGAACTAGAAGAAAACAGTTAAATGATTATATCAACAGATGGAAATCATTTGTAGGCTTATCGTGGTTCCTCCCTTAAATGAACAAATTTTAGAGCCTTCTGGGAAGCACTTAAGAGATCACCGAGGTTCAATTTCCTCTTTCCAAGACAATGAAATTGCAGCTAACAGAAGATAAGGTTTATCTAATGCCACCCTGTTTATTGTGGTAGAACACGGATCAATCTTTCTAAATCTTCTCTGTGAACTACAGCTTTTTCCTCTTCATATCTGACTTAGGCTTTGAAGGCAAAGCCAAATGTTCATTATAAACCCTATGATCCTTTATTTGTGCTGACTATAATGCATTCTTTCCTTTATCCGTAGCTATATGCCTTTTATTAAAATTTTAGAACCAAATTAAGTGACTTTAAAAAATACATTCTTTCCGTAAAATTGTAACTTCCTCCCTATATTATTTTTTGTTGACAGGTTTATTAATAATGATATTTTTCTTGCAAAAAAATGAACTATGCAAAACTAAGTAGAACATAATGGTCCAAACTATGATGCATGGCATTTTACAATTTCTCCAAAGATAAATCTTAACACAGTGTAATGAATTGTATTATCTGTCCTTACTGCTAAGTCTGCATGGTACCATAACACTATAAACACATCTTTACCTATTTTTAATAAGGGCATTATAAACAAGAAGGGACACTTCCCATTTGAATGCTTCTGTCTGGAAGGCATCCTTGCAACCGAGTTAGAGGGGCCACAGAACAGAACCAGTGGTAAGTGGACGTGAGCCACTGCAGAACACAGCGAGCCCCTATATTTCCTGTAAGATTTCACCTTGCCAGTCAGAATATGAGTGCTTTCATCTCAAAGCATAAGTTTAGCAGCAATATGACAATCACCAAGTTTTATTTTTGTCAGTGGAAAAATAATTACTTTGAGCATTACCAAAGTCTCTTAAAATCTTTAAACTGAAGCACAAGATGAGTGAATAATTCCACTTCTAACTCTGAAAAAAAATCATGAAATTGTTATTTTAATTTTAAGAAAAATAGTTTATTAGTTAGTAGAGTTTATTGAATTACTGTGGTAAAAACCTGAGTATTTTATTTAAAACCTTACTAGCAATATCTGATATTGGATTCCACTGAAATGAAACTTAGTATCCACATAATATTATTCTAATATTTGCATTGTTAGAATTTCAAGGTGAAATTTCAAGTGTTTTTGAGTGTTCCATTCTTACAAAAATGTCCTAATGTAGGACACTAATAAAAGTCAAGTGAGATTAGAATCCAGACACAGCTTAGGGAAAATATATATTTATAATAGTTATTTTTTCAATATATAAGAAATTACATATTAAAATCAAATGGAAAAATAAGCCAAACAAAATTATCTAAATTCATTACTTATTTTAAAGCAATGATCAACATCTTTTTTGGTGTCAGCTAAATAACGTAGAATTGATTTGATTTGCTGATATGAAGCCAAGTCTTCCTTTAACATAATTCAAAGCAAAATACTAGGTCGGAGCACTTTGAAATACTTATGAATGACAAAATTTCCTCTTACTTGACTTAAAGAAAATCGAGAAAAACCAAACAAGCGCCTAAACTAGCTTTCCTAAAAGCCTTAACAAGATGTACTAAATTGTTCCTCCAAAACACAGCTATTGCATTGTGTAACAGACTTCACTGAGTGCTACCATGAAAAAGGGGCACTGGAAAATGAAAGGCAATTTAGAGAGGGGTAATCACAATGAAGCACTCATATTGAAGGCACTGAAGTTGTTTGGCTGGGGAAATGGTTTACTATAAGAAGCAGACGAATTCTTTGCTCTATTTCACGTAGGGCGCAAAGCTACACTATCGGCGGAAGGGAAACATTATCACCTAATGAGGTGCCCACCAACAGAAGGTACCAAATCCTGGGATGGGAAGGGCACCATCAGAGGGAATGAAAAAGCACAGGCTGACAAAAGTATCATCAGTTTGAACCCGAGAAGTCTTGCGTGGTATGGGAAGCTGCATTTTTACTTTTAAAATGCTACTATTTTTAAACCTGTAGACCCTAAAAACTTTGATGACATTGCACAGTTATTGAATTATTTTGTCCGACTGACAGCTTGATTATATTCCTGACTGGGGTAATTTCTAATTGTTGACGTTAACATTTTTGAAATAATTCAAAAAGCCTCTTTTATATCTAGCCAGGTGCTACCGTAGAAGCTCAGATGATTTTAGACACCTGATGGCCATCTTGCAACAAATGTACTTTTCGGGAACAGTGCATTTATAACGCCAGTGATTGGATGCACTCCTACCTCTGATCTTTGCCTCTGTCCAAAATAATAGCAATGAAGAAACAGATTCCCCCGCAATAATAAAATTTGAGTCAAAATTCCTGGAAAAAAGGAAAAAAGCCTTAACAACGTCAAACTAAAGAAACATTGCAGGTTTCTTTGCTCTAGTAATTATTTTTAATTTGTCATGAAATAAGAAGATCACTGACTCTGATTTCTCTTCTCCTGTAAAACTCCTGTAAAAATACATTTTCTCTATGGTGTCTTTTCTAACGTTTTAAATTCCCTGTCCCTCTAACAAACTATTATTCTTAGACAAGATCAAACGACTTCACATTTTAAGTGGCTTTAAAGACATTTATATTTATTGACTTGAGATACACGTTTTAAGTTCTTGATATTAATTTAGAACTGGAAGATAGGGAGAGGCACCTTATTCAGTGGCTTTGTTTTTAACAGGTAGCCACAGTAATGGAAGGAAGTTAGTAATTTGCCTGAGCCAGCTCATGGCAAAGACAGAGGTCAAGTAGAACCCAAGCTGCTGTGGACCGGGCCACTGCTCTTTCCTTCACTGCTTCCTTCAGTATGATTTGTCCTATATTTGATCTAAAAATGTCCATCAGAAGTGAGGCTTTGAGCTCAGAGTGCACATCAGAGTATAACACAAGATTTCTTCTTATTTATATTATATTATGACTATTGATTCAAATCTTCCTTTATCACACTTACCTTAGGCAAAGGATACATTTCTTAAAATAAATATCTATGCATTTAATATAACCACAAACCAATGACAAAACATTATTGACAAACCACAATACATTTCATAACATTTGAGAAAAACAAAACACAAATGTCTCTTAATGAATACTGTTTTCTGAAAGAATCCATTTCTCTCTAAGGAGAAAAGCCCAAGGAAAATGGAAAACAAAAGCACCGAGAGAGGTGGAATGGAAAGAGTCTGTGTGTCTGCTTCCAAAATAAAGAAAAGGCAAAAGAACGGGAAAAAGAAAAAAGAATGTGCCCATAAAAGCTACATAAAATGGGACTCTCACTTGAAAAATTTAAGATAAACTCCAGCACACCTTGTGCGTTGTACATGCTGACAGAAGGGTTGTTACAGACCGCCGGTTCCCCAAGCAATGTATTATAGGGATTGTTAGTACCATGCGGACGAAGCAGAGCATTGCTTATAAGATGATTAGCCATGGCTCCTGGAGCAGCCCCATAGAAAGACAGAGAAAAAAAGGTCAATCAGGCAAATGTGCTTAAAAAAATGAAAGGAAACATTTAGAATGACAACAGTTGATATAGTCCTGATTACAGGCAGGCAGCTAATTAGACTCAAAAACATATGCTGCTAAAGCACACGTTTCCAACAATGCACATATCTGAGTCCATGGGAAAGAAAGAAAATGATTTACAGTGTCAATTAAGCTACATTTAAAGTGTTCTCTTTCCCAAGGTGTAAGCTAGAGTATATTCCCATGCTTGTTAAAAATATCGTGCAAAATCTAGTAGCCAAAACAAACAAACACAAAAGCCAAAAAACAAACAAAACAAAAAAGTTTAAATTTTCAGAAAGAAAAGTGAAAATTAAATGAAATATTCCCTCATTCAAAGAAACTATAGGGCTGTTTTAAATGATAATAAAAAAATAAAAAAATAATAGTAAATGCAACATTTATGATAGAACACTCATTTGGATAGCAGGTATCGACACAACAGAAAAATTGGACATTTCTTAAAGATCTATGAAGATAAATTATTTAAATTGAAATGAAATGCAACCATGTTTATTAGTACACTATTGTAAGTATACTAATTTGGTGAATTTATAAATCTGATAAAATAATCATTAATGATATTTTAATTATTATAAATAAATATTCATCTCATGGCATCAAGCAATATATACAATTGCATTTTTCCATTTTCCAGCTGGTGGTTTGGAATGTGTCACAGCAAAGTGACAAAGTTTAATGTTTCCATCTCGTTGGAAACAAGCACTTGGATTCTAACACACCGTCAGTAACCTCCCATCCTCCAGCACCATGTGGCCAAGAAGAAAAGAGTCCGAAGGAGAGTTTGACTAAAGATAACTTGAATATGTATGACAGATGTAGAACTGTTTGTTCATGTTAGCTGATAAAGAAAGGGCTGGGGACAAGAAAATGGAATAAAAATGTGCAGGGATAGTCAGATTGAACAAACAGGTATTTCAATATTTGAAAACCTATATGTATATCTACACACAAACACACACACATACACACACAAGGTATGAACTAGGAAAAATAGTTGCGGACACATTTACAAACATTTATAATCCCACAAAAGATTAATATGTCGAATATATAAAGAACTTTTGAAAGTCAATAGTAAAATCAAAGAAACAACCCAATTAGAAAGTGGGCAAAAACATGAACTTATATTTCACTAATGAGGCTCTACAAGTGGCAAATAAGCACAAGAAAAACTGTGCTACCAACCATGAGGGAAATATGAGTTAAAACCAAAATGAGATGCCACCGCACATCTGAAGTAATACTAATATTTTAAATTCGTATAATCAAATACTGACAAGGACACAGAGAAACTGAATCCCTCATACAATGTAAAGTAGTTGACAATGAAACATATTTTAGCAGTTTCTGAAAAAACTAGGCATTCAAATAATACCTCACCCACAGATTGTACCCTTGGTTTCTAATCACAGAGAAATGGTCACTTGTACTCACAGAAAAATTTGCGCATGAATGCTCATAACACAATTATTTGTAATGACCCCAAACTGGAAATAAACAGATATCCTTCAACAGGTAAATGATAAAACAAATTGTGATATATCCAGACCATGGGGTTCTACAAAGCAATCTTAAACAATGAACTTCTCATACAATTAATATCCTAGATAAGACTCTTGAGGATTATACTGAGGGAAACTCGTGAATCTCAAATACTAATGTAGTGTACGATTCCATTTAAAGATCATATTCTTGAAATCAAATATATATTTATGTATAAATATATATAATTTAGATACTTAAATATATATAAGGATGATGATGTACATATATAGAGAATGAAAATAAATTGGATTATTTGGTTGGACATTAATGATGAGGCAAAAAGTGAATGATAATCAAAGGACAATTCTGTAGTGATGAAAATATACTGTATTTTTATCCTAGTAATATTTACATGGACCTACTGGCTGTGAAGCACTTGGTGGCATCAGGGGCTATGCGTTTCTAGGCTGAGCTCAAGGTAAGCAGTTCAAATCCATCCACCACTCTAGAAGAAATATAGGGCTTTCTATTCCTATAAAGAATTACAGACTTTGAAACACACACAGGCAGTTCCACCCCGTCTTGTAGGATAACTGTGAGTTGGAATCGACTAGCTGGTAGTGAGGTTGAAACAACCTACTCCTGTAAAAGATTTCTACAGATTAGATGAAATCAAAAAATAAAACTGATGAAAAATAAAGTGAAAATATGTGAACATGATTGATGGATGACATCAATGCCTTATACCTATAAGAATATAGTTTTATAAGATACTATTATTGAGAAAAATTAAGTAAAGGGTACATAATCCCTTTGCATTACTTTCAAATCTGTATGAAAATCTAATATGATTTTTTAAAATATAATATGTGTTAATTTAAGAACACAAAAATATTAGCCATGGGCCGGGAATGTTAACAAGATAAAGGAAGGAAGGAGAAGGGAAAGACAGAAGGAAGGAAAGAAGGGAGAATTTAACCATCGTATTCTAATCTTTCCTAAATTACGATTCTTTGTTATCCAACGAACAAAAAAAAGTCGAGGAAGTGAATTGTTGATTTAAGGGGCAATCAAGACTTAACCGAATATAGAAACAAAACAAGCTTATTTTCTAGATCTCTTGGGCACTTTAAGGTGCAACTCAAGCTGGAGAGTGTCAGTTCCTGCAGGGAAGAGCTGAGTATTCGCCTCCTGCACAGAACTAACACAGCCATTTTCTCCCTAAGTGCTCAATGAATGTGTGCTGCTGATGCTGGACAGGCATTTAAGGTATTCTTGTGTGTGTGTGTGTGTGTGTGCGTGTGTGTGTGCAGTGCAGTGGTAGATCTTCAGTTTATCTTAAAATGAGGATGTTCTTTGCTGATCAGTCAATTCCAGCTCATGGGTACACTTGTCACAGAATAGAACTGCTCCATAGTTTCGTAAACTGTAATCTATGTGCCCGTATATTGCCAGGAATTTTATCCTAGAAAACAGCAGACACGCAGCTGGTGGCTTAGCAGCTGCATGCTTACCCACTGTACCAGCAAGCTCTTTGTGGTGCATATGTTACATGGGATGAATAATAATAGAGTTTACATATGAAAATTATAAAGTAAAGCTAAAACAGTATGCTAATAATGTTTCCTTATACCAAAGACCTATTTACTTGCATTGTATTGAATATGCAGACATTTAACTGTGTTGATCATAACAAATTATACAAAACATTGTGAAGAATGGGAATTCAAGAACACTTCAATTGTACTTCAGTGGGTCCTATACATAGACCAAGTGGTCGCTGTTGGAACAGAACAAGGATAGACTGCACGGTTTCAAAACAGGACATGTATGCATCAGGGTTGTATCTTTCACCATACTTACTCAATCTGAATATTGAGCAAATAATCTAAGAAACTGGACATTACAAGATGGCACTGGGATTGGAGGAACACTTATTAACAACCCTGTGATATAGAGAGGACACAAACTCTGTTGCTGAAAACAAGGAGGCCTTCAAGTACTTGCTGATGGAAATCAAAGACTACAACTGCCAGCATGGATTGCAATTCGGTGCAAAGAAAACCAAAATGCTCACAACCGGGCCAACAGACAATAAATACTGCGTTGAATGGAGGAAATTTTGAAATTGTCAAGGATTTCATTTTACTTGGAGTCACAACCAACACATATGGAAGCAGAAGTCAAGAAACCAAAGGACGTGTTATATTAGGCAGATCTGTTTCACAAGACTTCTTTAAAGCACTAGAGAATAACAGACACGTTGAAGATAAGATGTGCCTGCCGCAATCAATGGTATTTCAATGGCCTTGTATGAACATCAAATTGGATGGTGACTAAGAAGGACCATCGAAGAATGAGTGCATTTGAATTGTAATGTTTGCAAAGAATATTGAAAGTACCATGGACCGCCAGAAGAACAAACGGATCTGTCTTAGAAGGTCTATCCAGAATGCACCTTAGAAGCAAGGATAGCTAGTCTTACCTCACATACTTTGGGCATATTATTAGGAAAGACCCTGGAAAATGGTGTCATACCAAAATTTAAAGTGTGTGTGTGTGTGTGTGTGTGTGTTGGGAGGGGCTGTGAGAATCCCAACGAGATAGAATGGCATAGTGATTGCAACAATGGACTCAAACAAAGCAATAATTGAGAAGATGGTGCACACGTAGCCTGTGATTCATCCTGTTGTTTATAGGATTGCTGTGATTAGGAACTCAATCGATGGCACCTAAACCCAACATAGTGCTTTCCAGATATAAAATGGAAGGATGGGGTACATCTTTGAAATTTATACTGATGATGTTTTACAAAGCTAAGATGAACCATTACAGATAAGATTTGATCAGCACAATTTCTTCTTTCTTTTTAACAAATTACTTATAAGTTGTACCGGGTACCTAGCATTTATCAGTCAAGTGAAAAGGAAAACTTAAAAATGTAAACAAACTCAAAAGTCTCTTCATATAATTTCTTTCTAAAATGACTCTTAGAAAGGGCTAAAAAAGGCCATTATAGTTGTAAGAGATACAAAAAGAACTTTATGAAATAAGCAATGTAAGCAATATGAAATGAACCATACAAAGATAACAGTAACTCCTAAAATTATTTATACTCCCTCAAAGATCAAGTAAGAGGGAAGGTCTTTATGGTCAAGGCTTTTATCTGTATCTCGTCACCTTCGTCATATGACTACATGTTCTAGTGTCCTCGTGGTTACAATGAAAAGGTCAGTTTCAAACCACCAGCTGCTTCCTGGGAGAAAGGCAAGGTTTTCTACTCCCAGAAATAGTTCCAGTCTCAGACACTAACGGGGCAGTTCTACCCTGCCCTACAGGGTCTCTCTGAGTCAGCATCAACTCGATGGCAGTGAGCTCAGTTTACTTTTGAACTAGTTGGAAGACAAACAATGGGATGCAGA